ATGTATGTATGGATGTATGTGCGTATGTTTGTATGTATGTTTGTATGTATGTTTGTATGTATGTATGTATGTATGTATGTATGTATGTATGTATGTATGTATGAGTATGTATGTGTATGTATGTGGATGTATGTGTATGTATGTGTATGTAGGTACGTTTGTCTACGTATGTAGGTACGCAGGTAAATTAACAAGTTACAGCTACAGACATAGACGATGTTATAAACCCAAAGCCAGATATCCTAAGCTGTCCAAACCTTAGGGCCCTGAAATCTTAATTCCCAAGCCGTGCAGAGGTAGCACAGCTGCTCTGGCCTTTGGATCCCTGTACCCTCAACCCCCTCAACCCCAGACTCCTTAAAACCTCAACCCCAAATTCCTGAAGCCCGAAACCCTGAATCTTCAGCTCTAAAGCCCTGAACCCTAAACTCCTTAAGCCCTAAACCCTGAACCCTTTATCCTGCTGGATGTTGAGCCGCCCCCTTCTAGTCCCTGAGTTGCTCTTTTGTAGGAAAAGGCACGACGGTACGAAGTGATGCGCTACCCGCGCTCCAAAAAGAAGCAAAGGCATAACGCATAGACTATAGACTTGAAAAAAAAACACGTCCAACAGTAATCTAATTCGTGGCCAAGTACCGTTGATGCCTGCTCTCTTTTGTTTCGACCGGCACTCTACGACCGTGGGTCTTGGTAGGCGGTTGAGGGCAAGGGAACCTCGGCCCATGGCTTGGGGGTAAGGGAACTTGGGTTTAGGGTTTAGGGTTTAGGGTTTAGGGTTCAGGTTTGCTGAAGATATCATTTGTGTCAACTTATGGAGGTCCTATTCTGCAAGTTGTGCGCCGCCGCTTCCAGCTGAAGTCTCATGACAGGGGCATGGCACGAATGTTACAAGTGTCCCACCATCCAAGACTTGAGGCTTGATTGATCCCTAAACCCTAAACCCTAAACAGTCTCCCAAACCAACAAACCCTCTGACTACCACCCTGCACAAAAACTCTAACAGCCCCTAACATGCTGTAAAGATGAGCGCCATGGCCAGGAAGTGTAACCTAGCCCCAAACCCTCCCAGATTCATGTTTTGGGGGATTAAGAGGTTGATGCACATCTTAAAACCTCAAGCCCGGAAATGCCTGACAGCCCAAACCACAGCAACAAGAACAATGTAAGCCATACAAGCCCTAATGGCGACAAACCCCAAACCCTATAAGCCCCCTGAAACCCTATAAACCCTAAACACACTAAACCCAAAGCCCTATAAGCCCCTAATAACCCAAAACCCTAAAAGCGCTAAACCCTACAAGCCCTAAAAACCCTAAACCCCAAACCCCCGCGGATCCTCCAAATCCCCGAGCCTTCTCTTAGACCGCTTCGGCATGCAGACCTCCTTGGATGCATCCTATGCCTCGAGCCATGTGGGCGAAACGGCAGTGCCTCACTTAGACGGGAGAATCCTAGAAAGTGTAGAGTTCAAGTCTCGGGTTTTGGGGGGATGTCTTTAGGAGACTCTCGGCTTGGAGTTTCAGTCATTTCGTTGAGCAGTTTTGGTTTCGGCCAGTTCAGAGACAGACATGAATTGCTCAACCCAAAACCCTACACCTCAAAGCCCTATTCCCTAAACCCTATAAAACTCAAAGCCTATAACCTTGAAAGGCTTCAGAGCGCTGCGCACAACTAGGATCTCTGTGGGCTCCAAGAGCGTGCCCCCCCCATAGCATCCTAAGAAGGTCACAAACAAGAATCTACCGCACCCAGCTGAGGCATTGAGGCTTTTGGGTTGACGTTCGGGTTTTAGGTCTGGGGATTAGGCATGCGGACCCTGCGTACTGAGGTGGTATTCTGCTCATGTTGCAGCTACGCGCACAGTATCACGAATTGCATCATCACAAAATTACACGTACGCACGAGTACGATCCTCTGCCTGTTACCGTCGCTATGGTTTGCCCAAAGGCTCTTTTCGGGCGCAGTGCTCAGTAGAAGACACTTGAAAACCTAAAGATAACTTATGGCCATCAGTTGTTGTTGCTACACGACACCCACAGTGAGGGAAACTACAAGTGCACTATAGTGCAAGTAAGTTAAAGTAACAAGAAAGCAAGCCAGGAAGTAAGCAAAGTAAGTAAACAGGTGAGCAAGTACGTGAGTACCGTCTGCAAGTAGGCAAGCAGCAATGAAGCAAGCACAAAAGCAAAGAGATAAGTAAGTAAGTAGGTAGGTATGTGAGAAAGCAGCAGGCAACAATCATGTGTGGATGCCAGCACTTATGTATGCAAATATGCATGTCTGTTTGTCTGTCCGTCTGTCTGTCTGCCTGCGTGCTTGTCTGTCTGTATGTACGTATGTATGTATGTATGTACGTATGTATGTATGTTTGTTTGTATGTATGTATGTATGTATGTATGTATGCAAGTGTGCATGTATGCTTGTTAGCAGTTAGCCCTTCTCAGCAACAACCTTTTTTCGTTGATTTGATAAAACATCGATTCCGTCCTGTCACTCGGAGATGGTGCATGCATGATACAGTGATACCCGCGTGCCTGTCGTCTCCTGCGTGCATGCATGTTTGCTTGCTTCAAGACATACCCTATAAACCTCAATTCAAAGCAATGCTATGGAAGCCCTACACCCTAAACCCTCAACCCTGCGGACAGAAACTCCCAAAGCACTGAATAAAGCAAACCCTCAATCCGAGCAGGTAAACCCTAAACCCTAAACCCTAAACCCTTATAAACCCTAAACCCTAAACCCTTATAAACCCTAAACCCTAAGCCCTAAGAAGCCGCAGTTGCCAGGCGCAGCTGGCAGCGTTGCGGGGCGACGTCGCTGCATTGGTGTCCGAGGCCCGTTCTGCTTCTTGGTGGCTTAGGGTTTAGGGTTTAGGGTTTCTGCTTCTTGGTGGCGGGTAGGGCAAGGTAGTAATTTCGATTCACTTAGGATTTGGAGTTTAGGGTTTAAGGTTGAGGGTTTGAGGTGTTGCGGGTAATGTAGGGGCCTTAATACTTAGAAAAGGGTTTTGGGGTTCCTTTAAAGGATTCCTTAAAGGGTCCTATAAGGGCTACTATAAGGGTTTAGGGTTTAAGGGCCTTAAAAATTAGAATAGGGTTTTGGGGCTAATGGCTAATAAGGAGCCCCCAAAATAGTGAAGGTAATTCTTTAGGCCCCTACAATAGTAATTTCGAGTCTGGGGTGTTATACGTTTCGGGTTTCGGGCGAGGGTGTGTGATGGCAATTCGCAGGCTTGGGTTTCGGGTATGACAGGGCTTTTGGGGCTTTAGGTCGTTTGGGGTTTAGGGCTTTTGGGGTTTAGGTTTTGGGGCAAAGTCGGATTTAGGATTACCGCGGCCCCAATTGGGGCCCAATGTTTGAATGATTTTACGAACGTCCCCGTTATGCTTGTTGAAATCTGCTTGTAATCTTCAGGCAGGGTGTAGCTGCAGCTTCGCTGTAATGCAAGCTTGGGATATCGTGTGCCGGGTTCAAGAAACACCCCTAAACCCTAAACCCAAAACCCTATGCTCCTCCCGGACAGGTGGGGCAGCTGCAAGGCGTGGCCAAAAGCGGTGCCGAGGCCGTTCATGAAGCTCACATCCCGAGGGCCGGAGGGTTTGGTGTTTCGGGTAACTACAGTAAGAGTGCTACTCTACGGAGGCAACCTGGGCTTCTAGTTTCTACTGCATCAGCAAACGTCGGGTAGGTATTGTTTGAGTAGCTGAGCATTGTCGGCACGATTGCGGTCACTAGATAGTCGCTTGCGTTTTCGATTGTTCGCAGCGGTCAGAGCTCACGGACTTGATACCCCTGGTATATTAGTGTAACATTGTACTACATTAAAAGTATGTTCTAGCATCTATAGTATATTGTGGTAGATTGTTGCTATGTTCTAGTATTTAGTACATCAGTTATTCTTATATTATAGGATATTGTAGTATGACATAGTAGATTATGTATCTCTGAGCGAAACCAGATTTGGCCCTTGCTTGACCGTAGGTGACGGCTGATGAGAGCCAACAGCTCAGCCTTGACACGACTTCCTCATGCCGTGCCTTGCTGGTTGTGGAGAGCACCTGAGGAAATCAGTTTGTATATGGGAGTTTCCGAAAATAAGGATACCTTATTTTGGGGTCCTTATAATAACGATCCTACTATTTAGGGTACTATATTAGGATCCCCTATTTTCGGTTACCCCCATATGGTAACAACCAAGGTCGAGCCGTTCTCAACCAGGCAATGGGACCCATGTCGGCTGTTATTGTCTTGCCAAGCTTGCATGTTATGGCCAAGGGTTTAGGGTTTAGGGTTTAGGGTTTTCTTGCCAAACTTGCAGATTGCAGGCGGCAACGCAGCACAGTAATTGGTTCCTGGAGATTGCACTTACCCTAACCCACCAGGTACCTACTATATAGGGCCCTGGGGGCTCTAGTACCCTATATAGTAGGTACCTGGGGGGTTGGGGTTACATGACAACTTAGCATAATCCTGCAGCCATCGACGGTGTTTCTGGCATATGCAACTCGAACGAAGAACTTCGTCTCGCTGCCTTCGCAGCACGGTTACGTAATTACAGACCATGCTCTGTGCTTGGTCCCACGTGCCGGATTCACGACGAGGGCAACAGAAGTTCATGCCGTGACTCTTGCACCCGCGACGATGAAAACAGTCCGAAGACGTACACAGACCGCTCCGCTTCTGCTTGGTCGCCGTTGTCCTTCGGCATAGTGTTGGTACATGATGCTTCAACGACCAGTCAAGCATCGACGACCACGTAAATGCACGGTTTGTAACTTTCAGCTCCTGAACCGTTGAGCCGCGACGAAGCTTGCAGTGGCGAGCTGCTCATCAACTTTGCCGCGGATGCGATCTCGAAGACGTCGCGCTCCGAGAAGGACACGATAACAGTGCCACCCGACCGAACATTTCCCGCGAGCTGTCTCGTTCGTCACAACGAAGTATATAGAAAAGCAGGGAACGTAGCTTTTGTCCCTGAATAAGAATTGAGAAATAGCCCAGTTCTGCCGCTTCTTTGGAGCGGCTCAATGCTGCCACGACACCTTTGTCGAGCTGTGTCAAGCCAAGCTGCCACGTCCGCTCGACTGCAATGCCGCAGATCCGCAGGTCTGGCTGGTGCAAGATTGCCGGCAGACAAAGTCCTTCAAGTCCAGCTTTTCGGTGACTTTCAAGATGTGAGGAGAAACCGACGACGTCAGAAGACACCGGTGACGTCAACATTTCGGGTTGCACGAACGCTCCACGCAAAATGGCTACAAGCTTACTGTACGGCTTTACGATCCGCAAAGTTCTCGATTTCGTTCGTTTTCCACGAGCTTGCACACGAAGGCGGCTGTCGGTTTTGATTTCGGGCCTGGCGTTGGTCTCCATTCCTGCAACGGGGTCGCCATCCGCCACTCATTTGCCTGTTATGTTGCATTTTGTCTACGGCTTCCACGATGCCCCTGTCTCCCTGCCGGCGCTGTTGTTTGTTCCAGTTCCTGACTTGTTCTTGTTGTTGTTGTTGTTGTTGTTGTTGTTGTTGCTGTCGCTTGCTTTCCTCGCCGAGCATGTGCACTTGTTTTGACATGAAAGTGGCAGCAAATGTTGCTACATGTATAGTCTTTGATTGAGCTTGTGCAACGTGGCCCCGTGCATTCGACTACATTCCCCAACCCATGTGGAAGCAGGCATCTTGCACATGATGCAAGTTGGCACGGTGCATGGCGTATCAAGCGTCAAACGTTCGATTGCGCAGACATGAACAGAGCATCACTCCCTCAGCACGCCATCGCACATTCGCAATTGATTCCGCAGATCTTGTGTGCCACGTGTGCCTCCGAAACGTTTCCTTGCAGTCCATGAGTGTGCTGTTGTGCGCAATTGCGCACACCGCTGTACATGTGCGAAATTGTGCGAACACCCACGAAGCGCAACCCGCACAGCAGAAGTGTTTTCTGGTAGCCGTTGTCGTTGCGGTGAAGTTAAACGCAGAGTATTGAGGTGGTGGTGGTTGTTGTTGTTTTTGTTTGTGTTGGTAGTAGTAGTAGTAGTAGTAGTAGTACTAGTAGTTATCGTGTGCATAATATTAAGCCGTGTTAATTGTAATATGTGGTATCTGTAGATTTAAATCAGCATACTTAGTTTTCCTAGCTTATGGTTAGATTAGACTTTCTCGGTTTTTTAATGCCGCCAGTATTTATTGCAACATTGTCAGTGTTATTGGCAAGAATCGCATTACCAGTATTCGAGGTAGTACTGTTATTAGTAATATTACAGGTACTACTATTGACTGATATAACTTGTTTTACCGAAATATCTAACAGTTTTAAACTTGTTTCGACTGTCGAGTATTTCTTGTACCACTAGATAGCACTTTTTTCGAGACTGTCCAACATTTTGATTTGTTTCAGACAACAGTATCATACAGTATCATACAGTATCATACAGTATCATTAGGATGGGTACTTTATTAGTTTGTCCAGCATTGCTAGCAAGCATTACCAATATTGTTAGCACCAGTCGTGCCATTGCCATTATTAAAACTATGAGTATCTCTAGCCTTCATAAGTGTAATGATTTCAGAAGCTTTACTAGTTCCATTAGCTTTATCAGCTGTGTTCGCATTACTGGGCTGGCTGTATTAACGTTATTGCTGTACGAGTTTCTAGTAGCACTCGTGTCACTGGTGTTTCTAGTATTGCTACTGGTGTTGCTAGTATTATTATTCGTACTACACGAACTGCCAGTAATACAACCATAACCCAGTAGTCTAGGTTTACTAATTCTATCACTCTTACTCATATTACGTGTATTACAAAACTGTTAATAGTACCTCCCGTAAAATCCAAATGTACATTCGTATCATTAGGAGGCTTACTCGTATTAGTACTAGGAGTGGTATCAATGAACGGGAAATATGAGTATTACCCGTGTTTTAATGTTAGTAGTTATACCACTCTTACTAGTACCACTAAGCGTATTACTCGTATTACTCGTATTTCTAGTGGTACTAGTATTGCTAGTTTTATTACTAATACTAATATTACCAGTATTATTCGTATTACAAGTCTTACTATTACTACTGGTATTACTTGTATTATTGGTATTACTGTTAGTACTAGTTTTGCTCGTGTTGCATGTGTTACTCGTGTTACCCGTGTTACTGCTATTGCTGCTATCACGAATATTACCGGTGTCACTAATACGTTTAGTGCGGTGGCATTTCTGATCTGTGTAGTATTACTTACCAAGTATTTCCAAAATTATCGGTATTACTGGTATTACTAGTATTACTAGTATTACTAGTATTACTAGTATTACTAGTAATACTCGTATTACTAGTATTACTAGTATTACTAGTATTACTAGTATTACTAGTATTACGAGTATTACGAGTATTACGAGTATTACTAGTATGACTAGTATGACTAGTATGCCTTAGTATTACTAGTATTACTAGTATTACTAGTATTACTAGTATTACTAGTATTACCAGTATTACTAGTATTACTAGTATTACTAGTATTACTAGTATTACCAGTATTACTAGTATTACTGGTATTACTGGTATTACTGGTATTACTGGTATTACTGGTATTACTGATTACTGGTATTATTGGTATTACTGGTATTACTGGTATTACTGGTATACTGGTATGACTGGTATTTCTAGTATTGCTAGTAGTACTAGTAGTACCAGTAGCACTAGTATCACTAGTATTACTAGTATTACTAGTATTACTAGTATTACTAGTATTACTAGTATTACTAGTATTATTTCTATTACTTGTATCATTAGTACAGTGTGTTACTTGTATCACTAGTATTACTACGATTATATTAGTATTACCAGTATTATTAGTATTACTAGTCTTCCTAGTCTTACTAGTCTTGCTAGTATTATTAGTATTATTAATATCATGGTTGTAATCGGGCGGTTCG